AAAGCTCTTATTTTTGAATAAATTTCATACAAACCTAAATAGATTTTATGAGAAGGAGAAAAATAAATATATTCTTTCTCTGAAGGACATTTATCTTTCTATGCATCTGAGAGAGGAATAATGACATGTAACCTGCAATGGTTTTTGGCAGATTACTAGAGCTCCTTTTGTATGAAGTCCATTTATCAAGATTTAGGAAAACAACCTGATTCATGTCTCTAAAAATCAAAACATCTGCAATTGCAAGAACATTGAAAAAGTGTTTCATAATGTTTTGTTTTATTATCATTTGGAACATAAATTGAAGCCATTGTAATTTTCCTTGTTCTTTTTGAAACCAAAAATCTGAAATAAAAACTGATTTTTTAATTATTTTTTAATTAAAAAATCCCTCTGCTAGATCTGAATCTGGTTTGCCAAGTTCCATGATAAGTTCCTAATATATATACAGTAGTTACTTGGTTTTTCTTTCTACATGAAGCCACACACTTTTGACTGACTTACATTCTAGCAAATTAACACTGTCTTTTTTTTAATATATGTCTCTTGAGGATATATTAGATGTCTGCATTTTCCTTATTTAGTTTTTTTTTTTAATCTTTTTCCCTTGGAATGGTCTATCCAATCCATTAATATTGGTTAGACTATTTTAATTTGATCCATGATGTCAGCTGTCAGTTAAATTTATGAAAAAAAAGTTGTTACCTGATCCAATTTTTGGCCTGACTGTTCTGAATTCTTGGCTTGTTCTATTAATGCTTAAAAATTCTTAGCATCTTAGCATCTTATGATGAATATATGAAGGCTCTGAACCATTGATAAAGACTTCCAGGCAAAACTGAGTGACCCACCTGTATTTAACCTATCGTTCTTGTAGACAAAGGTTTTTTTTTTTAAAAAAAAAATCACATCTCTGAGTTTCTTAAGTATATCTCAGGGAACATCTGGTAGAATTGCTATTATTTTGTCTCTAAAGGTGATGTTTTCCCTTTGTAATTGCAGTATTTCATCCATTGTCTTTAAACATGTGCATTGAATATATCTGTCACATGGTAAATGTCATCTTTATGATGTCCATTAGTTTACTTTCTTGAATTTCTAATTCTTCATCTACCGCTGTATCAAGATATTCTTTAAGTAATTTTTTTCCATTTCTCTCTAGAAGTCATCTGTTCCAAATCCTGGGGGTATCCCTCTGAACATTAAATTGTTTTTCAGTGATTCTGAATCTGCTATTTCTAGTCTGTCCTCCTTTATTTTTGTTGTTTGAGTTCTTTGTTCGGAAGATAATTCTTGATATTCTGTGTCTTTAATATGTTTATCCTCTTGTTTTAGCTTGGTTGCCAGCTTGAATGAATTCAGTGTAACTTCCAAATCTGGTTTTGTTGTTTGTTGAATTCGCTTTTACTTTCTTCCAAATTTCTAAATTTCAAGTCAAGTTTTTGATGTAGCTTATGCATATGTTCATTTGTGAGTAAGTCTGTGATCTACAGTAAGCAAACAAAGCACCAGCTTCTCCACAATCCTGCCGGTCTCCACCCATTCTTGTTAGCTGTTCTTCTTACCTCCTCTTTCTCAATTTTAGAAAATGAAATTGGATTCTCTCTCTCTCTCTCTCTCTCTCTCTCATTCCCCCCCGTCTCCCTCTCCAAATTAGGATTTTTCTAGGTATCAGCACCCAGTGAAAGTGCTGGAATTTGATGAAAGTGAATGGACCATGAAGAATGTCCAATTCATTCTGGAACAGAAAAGCACACCTGCCCACCAAGCATATTCCCCATCAACTCTTTCAGTGCATTCTTTATCAAGTGAAGATGAGGACAGCGATGATGATAGTAGCAGCCCTGTTCCTTACGCCAAAAGGCTTCGATTCCAGAAGAAAGACCAAAACTGCCCAACAGTTGACACGATTCCAAAAAGTCCTGACTCATCTGGATCTGGAAATTCTCAGCTAAATGGAGAAAGCTGGCCAGCTATAATGATGTCAGAGCCCTTTTTTACAGTAGAATGGATGACAAGGGGTCCTTCTTCTGAAATCTTAGAGAGGACCTTCCTTTCCAAGGACTCCATTATGGATGAACCAGTTATCTTTGCTGATGATTTTCCAGATGCTAGTAGAGAATGTCAGGAAGTCGCAAACAGAGATATAGACTTTTTGAATCAGTTAATATTCTCAGAAGGTCACAGCCTGAACTTTTCTACAGACTTGGAAATTAGGACTGGAGGAGTCCGATGCAGTGGCATTTGTGCAAGTCTAGAAAACTCACAGTCATCTCTTTGTAGTGAGCCCGAAGAACAGGTTATAGAAAAGAGAAGATGTGAAAATGACTCTAGCAATTGTGGGAGTCTCTGGGTAGAAGTACCTCACCTCAGCATGTCTTGTACAGACAGTGTGGAAAATGAAGAACTGGTTGAAAACAATACTCTGAAATCTACATGCCACAATTATCAACCCAAACAGATTCATTACACGTCAAGAACCTGATGTTAGTTACTGGTATGTATTCTAAGAGTAGAGAGAATCCTATAGTGTTTTTTCTAAAAGTCTTTCCAAGACCCAAGTGGTGAGATTTGCACTTTAAAAATCCAAGAAAAATTCACCCATACACGCACACACACACACATTTCATTTGATACAACATTCTTATTTCACTTTATAAAACAAGCAAAAAAAAAACCCCTACCTGGAGCTGTTTGGAATCAGATAATAACTAAAGGGACAAGTAGTACAGTTACATGGTGTTTCTAGTTTGTCATATTCTTACATTACATCCTAATTTAAAACAAAAAAAAAATCCGTAAGTGGAATTTCATTTGAAATTGAAATTGAAAATGGAAACAGCAGTTTTCATTGCTGATTTGGTCATGGAAATTGGAATTTTGCTATGGAAAATTGGAATTTGGTCATGGAAGATTGAGTGTTCTTTCCCAACTGAGTCCTGGGTAGCATCCTACAGACTAAGGAAGGACTCAGTATTGGGTCGTACAGCTTGAAAAGATCCATCCATGTTTCTCCATTTGTGAGCAGTTGGATAAGTTTCCCCCAACTACTTGAGTCTTTTTGAACCCTGAATTCCAATCTGGATCTTACTGAATCGTTCACAAGTCTCTCTCAGCGTACGCAGATTGGTTTAAGCATGCTGACACCAGGACGTGAACAAATAGCAATTCAGTCTGGGATCAAGACCAGAGAATAGAGAAGATTCTTGTGGATAAGCATTGCATTATCTGATCCAGTCCAAACTGGTCCTGTTCCCTTTAACTGAAAGTCCCCCTTCTTAGAATGAAGGAAGGGAGAAAGATAATGTCTTGCTCTTTAGAGAAAGTTCGTTCAACCTTGCCCTATGCCTTAACAACTTTGTCATCAACTCAATGCAAAGAGAAGAAAGCAGTGTTAGGTACGTTTTGTTACTGTGCAATTCTCTGCACGTTAACTTGGATCTAAGTTTATATTAAAATAATGGTGATAACTGTCCAGTACAGTATTCAAAGCCAAGAGCCACACTCAGGTCCTAAAATACTATGTTGTATATTTTGCAGGATGTGTTATATACATTCGTTTATATCTCATATTGAGACTGCCATTGTTGTGTTTCTCATTGGTTGGGACAGTGTTGTCCAAACTTGGCCACTTTGAGCGGACTTCAACTCCCAGAATTCCCCAGCCAGCATGGGGAATTGGCTGGGGAATTCTGGGAGTTGAAGTCCACTCATCTTAAAGTAGCCAAGTTTGGACAACACTGGGTTGGGACAACGAAATTCACGGGTTGCTGCATCGTGAGAGATTTTTGGCTGGCCACCCAGAAATTGCTTTAAACCAGGGAACTGAGAATCCACTTCGCTGCCTTCTTTGTAAAGCAGGTGTCTGCTCTGTCAAATTGATGTCCCAATTTTAAGTGAATTACCCGGATATAAAGGTACTGATTGGTTTAGAGGCAGGAGGAAAGATGATTGGGGTGGTTTCTCTTCACAACAAAAACTCCCTGCGCACCCCAGCATGGGGCTTTCCTTGGAGAGCACTTCTGCTTTGCAGCACCTCCTTGACTGACCACACCATACTTCATGGTCACGCGGTTATTCCAAGAGTGGGATACAAAGAAACCTCTGTGTCCTGTGTCTGCAGACAGCCTTCCTCTCCTATATGAGGGAGGCAAGAAAGATGAACTACTGTAGCCATCTCACACATCTTTTCAGAAGTGAGGTGGATTTATTTTATTTTTTTTGAGCAAGAATGCATTCTTAGCATTCTTTCCAAGATGTCTCCTCTCAGGGCAATGTAGTCTCGGCTAGATCCATGGGGGAAAGACTTTGCATTCCTATTCTCAGGATCTGGTAGGCCAGATGAGTGAATCCACCCAGTGCTTGAGTCAAATACAGTGGTACCTC